AATGCAGAACTTTGTGAGCTTGAGCTGTTCATTTATAACTACAAATAATGGAAAACTTTAATAAAATGCCACAGTTTCATTTTGAAAAAGCTAACATTGTTGCTTCAGTTTCTCAGAACCATGTGACTGTAGGTCCTAAAGGAGGGAGTGGTTTCACTAAGGCAGCAGAACTTCAGGTTAACACCAGCTTGATGGTGAGTGGTTTTTAAAGGCATTGGAAGCTATTCTTAGCTGAGATTTTTATATTCTTCCATTTTTTTAATAACCTCCTATTAAGAAATCCAAATGAAAATGCTGCCTGTGTATCCAAAACCTGGCTTTACATCATGGTTACAAAGGGATTATATTTGTTTTAAACTACATGCTATATCCAAAAGTTGGGATACTGTGCAAAATTTAACAAAAAACAGAATGCAAATCATAAAAAGCTTGTGTAGACTCACTGGCCACTTCATTAGTTGCATCTTACTAGTACAGGGATGGACCCCTTTAGGCCTCAGAGCGGCCTCGGGTCCTCATGACAAATAGACATTGTTGGAAACAGTCATCCGATTTTGGTCCATATTGTTGTGATAGTATCACACAGTTGCTGTAGATTTATTCACTGGACATCCCAAAGATGCCCTACTGGATTGATATCTAATGCCTGTGAAGGAGGCCATTTGAGAACAGAACAGTTGTAAGGAGTGGTTGTTTGACTTACTGTTGCCCACCTTTCATCTTAGAGCAGTTTAGCCATTCTCACTGAATGTTTTCTTTTTTAGGCCATTCTCTATAAACTCCAGAGATGGTTGTGAGGTGGGTAAATCATGCAACATTCAAAGTCGCTTAATTAAATAACCCCTTTCCCTCGTTCTGAAGCTTGGCTACATGTCTAATTACACTGAGCTTCTCCCACGTGATTGGTTGTTTGAGGTACTTGTGTTAATCATCAGTTGAACAGGTGTGTCCAAGGTGGCTGGTGACTGTGTAATCAAGTATATAGACAGCATGCCAAATGCTGAAACTGGGATATTTGAATCTTTTCAATTTTTTAATGCATATAAATAAGACCAGTACAGTTGAAGTCCTCTGGCAGCTACAGTATGTGTATCTGTGAGTTCTTATCTGTATATCTACTTGTAACTGTCAACTGTTGATATTCAGGGTGAACCTCATCAGACTCCCAGCTCAGTGATGAAAACAGACTTCATGCCACTGTCCCTGCTGCAGGTTGAGCCACACAAAAAGCTGAATTCATTCGGGGGGGGAGCGCAGGGGAATCTTTCATGTATAACTCTGAAGTTTGTTCTGTGTCACAGGGTACTGAGGCGAAATCGGGCCTGTGCAGCCGTTCTTGCAGAGAAACGGGATTCACACGAGGTGACATCGCTCCCTTGGCCCACCCTGTTAGTGCTGACTTCTTCACAGTTTTTCTTTGATGTAAAAGCGCAACATTAATGCTTTTTGTTTTTATTTAATTACTTATTTCTGTCTCTAATCATCTAGGTCTCTCTTCTGTCATCGCCCCAGACTAAAACAGAGGCCCCGATGCCATCTATCATTGGACAAAAGGTTAAATATGTTCATGCAATAGTTTTTCACTCTATTTATCAGCACGTTATCTGGATTGTTCAACAACATTTTAATTTTTTAGGAACCCACAGGATATGTTCTGAACACTCATAAAAACCAAACTTTTCCTGATGCACCACTTGATCCTTCAGACTTCATCACACATTATAAAAGCAAGTAAGTGTAATTAAGTTAATTCATTAACTTAATAAATTGTCACTTTTCACCCTATAACTGTAAAGTGTGTTACACTATTTGGCTACCTGCTTATTTTCCAGGTTTTGTCATCGTGATGACAGAAACTGGAAAAGTCCAGAAAAGTTCAAATCAACGAACTCTTGTCCCAGGATTGTCAGCTCTAAAATGGAAAGTGGCTACAATCTTCGGGATACGGACAGGTATGTATGTTATGCTCATGAAGTCGTTTCATACAGATTTCCTTTGACTGACATGACCTAGTTTTATTCTACAGGTACATCCTCAGGGGCTAGACCTTCTCACACCTGTGATGATACCTGCATTGCTGCTTTGTCACAAATAAAAAACTGAAGTTTTTTGTTGGTTTGCAGTCTGGCATGTTCTATTAATAAAATAGTTTAAATGCATACAACAAATATGAATTGCTTTTTTTTTTTGAGTGGAAACTTCGCCAGCCAGATGTGTGAATGGTAGAAATCCAAAGAGGGAGTGAACGAGATGATGCATTGTCTTTGACCACCTTACTGTCACTGACCTACAGAGAATGAGAGGAGTGTAAACTAATGGGAAAAATAATTACAGCCAGGCTGAGTAAGGCACTGATTTCCAAGGATGTCTGTGGTGTGTCAAACTGTTCTGCCACCCACAGCAGAGTCTGGATGAGCAGCAGAGCCTAAACTGAGTAGGAGGCTGAGATTGCACTATTGTGCAGCTACATACTGTGCACCTACTCTGAGCCAACTCTCAGAAACGACATTACATTATCAGTGTAATCCATTATGCATTATCAATATAATGACTCTTGTGTCAAAACAAGAGATTTTTAACTACGTTGGTTTTTTGGGGGTGTCACCATAGTATTTATGAAAGATATGTGACATTAACAGCCATAATATACACTTAATTGCATTATCAGTCAGTTGGAGAGATGTGCTTATCTAGTTAGTCAATCACATGCAGCTCGTCTGGGTAAAAACGCCTTGTTGATGCCAGAGATCAGAAGAATGGCTAGACTGCTTCAAGCTCTTATAAATGCAACACTAACTCAAATAACCACTCGTTACAACCAAGATATGCAAAAGAGAATCTTTGAATGTGCGGTGTGTCACATGGCAGCAAGAAGCTCTCTCACCAAAACTAGGCAATAGAAGATTAGAAACCTTTGCCTAGTTTGAGTTTAGATTCGACTGTGATGCTGGGATGGTAAAGCCGAAGCATGGAACCATCCTGCCTTGTATCAGTGGTTCAGGCTGGTGGTGTAATGGTGGGAAAGACATTTTCTTGGCTCATGTTAGGTCCCTAAGTATCAGTTGAGCATTCTTTAAACACCACCTCCCACGTGAGTATTGTTGCTGACCATGTCCATCCCTTTATGATCACAGTGTTCCCATCTTCTGATGATGCTTCCAGCAGGATATCATGTGCCATGTCACAAAGCTGACATTTCGAACTGGTTTGTTGAACGTGACAATGAATTCACTGTCTTCAAATAGTCTCCATAGTTGAAGATCTCAATCTAGTAGAGCACCTTTGGAATCTGTTAGATTAGAAGATTTGTAAATTTGTAGCAAATGTGATCCTGTCATGTTAATATGGACCACAATCTGAAATGAATGTTTCCAGTATCTTGTTAAAACTATGCCACAAATAATTAAGGCAGATCTGAAGGCAAAAGGGAGATACTGGCAAACATTGGGATCCAGTGAGTGTGTATGTCAGCCACAGTGATGCAAGACAGGCAATGTCAGTCTGTTGGTTTCTCCAGTGATGTACTCTGGACTGAATTAACTATTTGATTAACTGCCAGGAGGTTTTTATACATAAAATTTCCCCAGAGGATGACTTTGACTGATTTTGGAGACCCCTTAAGATTTTCATCAGATCAGTTTTGTTTTGTCCAAAATCTACATTTTGTTAGTTTTAGCTATAATTGGTTTAGAGCAAAGGAAATGTTAGCAATCCAAAAAGCTGGACTAAGACGAGTTAACGCTGTAAACAATGCTACCTCTCAATATCAGCATGTTAGCAATGATGCTGTGAGTCAGCTGGCCTCATAGCATAGCTGCACACACAGCTTTGTTATTATTAGAAGTAAAGGAAGTGACCAAACAAGAGCTGAAACATCATTTACATGATGTAAATTAACACATGTAATAGTAATTCAAGTTCAAGTCAAGAAGTTGGAACCAAATGTGTGTTTTTGTTTGGTTATTTTTTAGTTTTGCTCAAAAGTGATGTCTTTGCACACACAATCCAGGCATTAAAACAAACATTTCCATGATTCAAACTATATTTCTCATTTAACATATTAATCAGGTTTTTTTTAATATATTAATTAAGAATAAAGATGATTTTTCTATTAACAAAAGGACATACTAAGCTCTGTTATAGCACTCTGTATCATCTTGGATGTAATGAGAGGAAAAGCTTGGGGGACTCTACCTTTCTCGATAGCGACCAAAAAAACTGTATAATATTTACCAAAACAGCTAAACAGTAGTAAAAATATCTATCAACTGCTGCCCTGCATTTATAACATGTATTATGTGTGGTTTTCCGTGTAGAAACAAATCTAAAATTAGAGTGGTGAGTCTGAGTCTGTTCCCGAGCGTAGACACACGAGTTGACACGCTCTGCCTCATGAGTGCAAGCATTAATATTTTAGTGTTGGGATAAATATTTCACTCTTTCAATGAGATGTGAGAAAAAGATACGTGGAGGGAAAGAGGATTGGATTACACGCGCGCCCCACATGAATAATGAGTGCAGAGATGAGAGGAGAACAAGGGCCTGGCCTGCTCCATGCTAGAGACAAAGATAGAAAAGGTGTAGTCACAGACAAAAAGGAGTACACAAAGGTCACCCGAGCCTTCACCTGACCTGCAGGGGGGCTTTTGATTGGTGGTGGGGGAGTCAAGTCTATTTCATGTTCCCTCCCTATGGACTTCCCTTTTATGGTGAGGCACCCCAGCTATTCATCGCTGTAATAATCCCGCTCGTCTCTCGTTCGTTCTGGGCACTGACACTCACAGGAATGCTTACACAACACTGACAAGAGTTGGGGGGGTTTTGTTTAGCATGTCATAAATATTTTGTATATCCAAGTCCAGTACGTCCATTTGCACGCACAGACAGTCTCGGTTTATAGAAATAGTGATGAACCAAGATGAGGTGCACTGTCGAGCACATAAAACAGACACTGATGATGATGTAACAGAAATGTTAAATTGTGTCAGTGAAGCAAGCGGCGGCTAGTGGTTTCACCGCTTCACAATTAAGAAATATATTCCCACAAGTGACTGACATAATCAGACGGGTAATTATTTAATAACGGGAAACTTGGTCTCCTATGCCCACTGCAAGTAGTTTTATTGTAAAACAACTACACACACTGTACACACACACACACTCTCTTTACCTGAGTCCAGCTCTGATCTGATCACATGGAGATGAGTGAGATGTTGTTAATTTTTAGACACATAATGCCCGGCTCATTTATATTCACAGCAAACAACAGGTTTTAAATTAGCAGCACAGCTACACAAAAAAGTCCCAAAACATCAACTGTATCTGCAGGATTTCCTGTCATTCATGTCCAGCTTGTCCTGCAGAACATCTGGATCTTGGAGGGGCCTTTCACGCCCCTTCATCTTGTCTCCCTGTGTCATCCAACTCCTCCACATCCTCATAGTCCATCTCAGCCCTCTCATACTCTAGCTCCTCTCCCTCAAACTCAAACCCTTCTCCCTCACATATCAGCTCCTCTGTCTCATATTCGACCGCCTCTTCGTCATATTCGAGCTCAGTCCCGCCATACTCGTTTATTGGAGGCTCCACATACCCTCCTTCCTCTTCCTCCACTTCATCCTCCACTTCTTCCTCCTTCACCAGAAGCTCTTCCTCTTTAACATCTGTGTCCTCTATGGTCACTGCAGCTTCATTTGGTGCTTGCTTTGAGCTGCTGTTCTTGAGGATGCCATGAATCACCGGCTCCTCTCCTGCAAGTGCCAGCTCTTCTGCCTCTTTCTCTGCTTCCTTTCGTCGTCTCTCCTTCCTGGCCTCACGCACCTCCAAAAACTCTGCAGCTCCCTCCCCAACCAAGACGGCGTCTTCACCTACTATAGGAGGTTCCTTGACTGGGTTGTGGTCATAGGAGAAAAGGCGCAGGGCTCTAAGACGCTTCAGGCTGGGAATTTCTGATATCTTGTTGCGGTCCAGGTCTAGGATCTCCAAGGACTTCATTCGAAGAAGGACTTTTGGGAAGGTGTCAAAGCGGTTTCCGTAGAGCCACAATCCCCTCAGAGCCTCCATGCGCCACAAGTCAGGAGGCAGAGTCTTCAGGCGGTTGTCCCCCATCTGCAGGGACTTGAGGTTGGGTAAGTCATAGAGCACTCGTGGGAATCTCTGGAAGTAGTTGCTCTCCATCCACAAGCACCGCAGATTCTGCAGGTTGCTCAGCTCAGGTGGAAAGCTCATTAGGCGGTTGCTGCCCAAATAGAGGCGGGTGAGGTTAGTGAGGTCGCACACGGCCAGAGGAACATCTTCTATTTTGTTGAAGTCGAGGGCAAGTATCCGCAGACCCTGCAGCTGGGAGATGCTGTCGGGCAGGGTGCGCAGGCTGTTTCCACAAACATAAAGCTTCTCCAGATGCATCAGGTCACAAACACGTGAAGGCAAACGCTTAAATTTACGGTAGCTCAAGTCCAACACGGGGTCTCCACTCTCCAGCAACTCCTCCACTCCAAGCGGAAGTTCCTCCTCTACTTCCTGCACTACTTCCTTCTCCTTCTCGGAAAATTCTGCCTCTTCGCCATCTTTCCCCCCCTCTTCCTCCTCTTCTTCTCCCCCTCCCTTCCTGGAGGAGTTGCCCATGCTGTTGCCTGCAGCACCTTTGTGACTCCTGTGTGAGTCAAGACAGAGTCATTTGATGAGGGAGTGTCTGTGACAAGTCAACCCTGAGCTTGGGAGCTGCTGCTGTTTTGTGGTTGTACCCACTGGCTGCAAACCACATCCTGGCCCAGGCCAGTTAACACTCCGGCAGCCATACCAAAGCAGTTTGTCAAGTGTCTCGTTGTCCCTTCATCTACAGCTTCATCACAAAACAGCAGCGGAAAAGATCTAACAAACTGCAGAGTAATAGTAATGATAATAATAGTAGTAATAGTAGTAGTAGTAGTAGTAATAGTAATAATAGTAATAGTAAAGGTGTTGTTGATAGTTGAGTTCAACAAAATCCAGCTGAATTTTGAGCTGAAATTGAATTCTTGCAGTCCTTACCCTCTTCTTTCCTCTCTAACTTCCTCGGGGCTTTTAAGGGAAAGATAACGCCACCTGTTCACGTGATCCGGTTTCTCTATTAGAAGAGGAGAAAAAAAGTGCCACTAAACAGGGAGCCTACCACAGTGTGTGCGCACTCAGTGACCTGGCTGGCGGCAAAGAAAAACAGTTAATGGAAGTCTGTTCACTAGTTAATGCAGCTGCTCCCCATTAGAGGCCGAGGTTTCCCGGAGTAATAATCCGCGCCCGAGGAAAAACAAAAAAACCTGCACATACTGGAAAAGAACAGCGCTCACTGACTCCCCTCAACTCCTGATGTTGGCCGCTTCTCTCCATCAGTGTGAAGGTTTACATTCAACTGCTGCCTCCCTCCTTCTGTAACAGGAACAGGGGGCATTCACGTCACATGGCCAGTGTGTCCTCGTGTGAGTGCGTGTGTGTGTGTGCGCGTGCGCCGGTATGATAGAAGTAGCCTCTTAGAAATAAATATATTTTAAAAAAAGAAGCAACTTTAAAAACAACTTTTTCCCACAAACAAATTTTTAGGTGTGAGGGTTTGATCAAACGATAAACAAAAAAGAATATTAATAGTGATAAACATTATCCTGATATTTATGTTCATCTGCACAGACGACAAGAAAATTCGCAGGCTTACCTACGCTTATATTTACACATTCGCTATGTATTAACCGCCAGCGCCACTTTTTAATTGCAATTAATAGTTTTTAGATTCATTTTGTGTCTGGAGTATTAGTCCTGCCACAGAGTGACACAGAGCACACTCTGCGCTCTGTGTTACAGAGCTACAGTTACAGCGTTACAGTTTATTACTTTTCCTCGTAAAATGTTGTCACTATAAATCCATACGAAACGAGAAACAGCCTTTCAAAACAAATAAATACATTTGTGGTTTTGCCGTTTGTAGCTACTATAAATCTTTATGTACGGCTATTTGTATGTTTGATGATGGAGATGAGGCTCACTGTCCACAATGGTCTACTTAATTTTGGTTTTACTCATTTTTGTAGGTGACCTGCTGAGACCTATAAAATTGTTTGACAGAGCACAAAACTCAAGACTTGCTGTTATGTTTTTTCTCCTAACCAAATCACTGCAAACCAAGTAGTCTTTGGTCACTCACATTCTTATGCAATAGGACTCCCAAGTACAATATGAGATTCACATATAGTATGGTTTTATATGCAAACCTAAAGTGAACAAACAACTCTGCAACGATTGCTAAAATATTTCTCTTTTACTGTTGTTTCTTCACATTATGGCTCATATAGTTTAATTGTCAAATTTTTTATGTAAAAATTCCATCCATCCATTTGCTTCAGTTCTGTAAATATATGCACCGTCCTCTGATGGCCAGTAGGTTGCCTGTAGCCACCCTTTGGATCCAGTCTTACAGATCATTAAGCCTTTTTGGTTTAAGTGATGTTGTCACACTTCCTGTTGTCTGATGTTGTCCAACCATGAATCAAAAGTCAGAGAGAAATTCCAGGGGTTAATCCAGAATCATCAATTAATCTAACATGCTTGTTTTTGGACTGTGGAACAAAGCTGGATTGCCCGGACAGAACCCACGCACACTCAGAAACGTCCCAGACTAGATTTGAACCTTATTGCTGTGAGGGCTAATCACCCTACAGTCAACCTTTGATTTCACTTTATTACACTACATTTTCAGATTGCTTCTGAAAATGTTTCAGTGATCAATACTCTGAATTCCAGAAAAAAAAAACAACCAAACAAAAAAACCCTCCTGATTAAAGATTTTCCGCACTTCATATTTCAGTTCTGTTTTGTTAATTATTCAGATGCCTTTTTTTTTATTTAGCAAAACGATGGGTGGAATAATTTAGTGCAGGAAAAGTCTCAGCAAATGCCAATAAACAACTCAAAGCTTTACAGGGTTTTAATTTTTCTCTACGTGACACAGATACAGTGGACTAAAGTGCAGCTCAGATTGAAATGAATGTGACACGACTGAAAAATATTCCTACACCGCGGCTCAAAATAGCTCCAACATTTGGGTGAGCCCAGAGCAGTTTTAACTAAAAGGGCAACAACAGTTCCAGAAAAGACTAACTTTGTCCAGTACAGAACTATTCTCTGTTTCTCATAGTTTACCCCACAGTATTACAGGATATTACTGAGACTATTGTAGCGTTTTCAGCCATTTGTTTTTCTGTATTAAACTAATTCAGAATTCAGTTCAACCTTAACATTATACTTTAATCTGAAAGAAACACTGAAAGAAAAACATCCTAAAATAATGAAGGTTCAAGATGAACCAATCCGACACTGTATTTTTAATGAATCTGACCATATAACTTCATCTCCCGTATCTTAAAATTTGCAATGCTGTTTATACTGACTATACTGAATTTGTACTGAGGAGATTACAGCATTCACATAATGCAATAATGATCACATGCTACTATCAACAAGAACATGATACTTTCTATCTTACTATTGATACTTTACTGAGCATTTCATCCCAAATTACTTACCTTTTTGTTTTGTTTTTGAAAAACAGACTCAATACTTGGCAGCAAAAGGTTTAGGTTCTTTAGGTTCTAATATTTCTTCTTTACACTTACATATCTGTTGATGGGTTGCAACCTATTCTGACCCAAATGTTGCTTTGAATGAATCTTATGTGTCATTTGAATGTAAATCTCCAAAGAAATATTCAGATATGAGATAATGTAACTGATGGGATGAAAAGTGTAGTGATGCCAAAGTAAAAAGTCTCTCACTCTTTTCTGAGGAAAATACCCCCACCTTTCATTTGAGGGACCAAAATGAAAGTTAACCTTTAGCCCGAATTCATCAAAAAACTTAATAACAGCATGCAGGTTTTCTGATTGACAGTCTATGCTGTTGGTTGTGATACTGAGGAAAAGTCTATAAAAGATGCTGGGGTCAGATGTGCAGGGCTTCTGTCAGCTTGATAAGCTATGGCAGAAGAAGCGGACAAACAGGGAGACAGGCGGCGCGCTGCTTGAGGATAATCCTGTCTGATATGCTGAGGACCAAAAGAGCTGATTAGCAAATTTCTATATAGCATTAAAATGACCCTGAAATGACACAGTGAACTGTAAGCAGGGGACATAAAAGACTGAGACCTCAGGCAGTGAATAGATGTGACTGTTGAGGTGAAAGTGTTGAATGCAGATGAAGCACTGCATGACTTCACTACCATGGACAAACACACACATAACAAACACATGGACAGGGTAAAGGAAAAGTAACTCTAAACAGTTATTAATGATCATTTTTTCATGGTGGTCTAATGGAAAATCAATAATTATTAAGTATTTAATATTTATATATATTTCATAAATGTTTCTGGAAAACACAAGAAGCAAAACAGGACTGCAATGAGAGGCCTTCATGCTTTTGCAACTTGAGGTTAAAAGAGAACAAGGAAGCAATTTCATTAAAGGAGCATATTTGCACTATCTGTTGGTGAAGGAGAAAACTGCAGCTGATACAGCATCATTGTGCTTATTTACAGTAAAGGAAAATATGTGTGATTTGATGATGCAAACAGTTCAAGTCTAAAAACAGAATGACATCAGGCAACAATTTTTGTGTTTACTGTAGTGCTTACTTTGTAGGTATCCACATTTAAATTGAATGAAGGGTTTAGGAGTTTCAGCTCCTTAACATGTGCCAATCTCTTTTTAAAGGGACCAAAAGTATTTGGACTCAAAGTCTATTTCATGGGCAGGTCTGGGCAATTCCTTTGTTATGTCATTGTCAATTAAGCAGATAAAAGGCCTGGAGTTGATCTGAGGTATGGTGCTTGCATTTGGAAGATTTTCTTTACTGTGAACAGATAACATGCAGTCAAAGGAGCTCTTCATGCAGGTGAAACAAGCCATCCTTAAGCTGTGAAGACAGAAAAAAACCCTTCTGAGAAATTGCTAAAATGTTAGGAGTGGCAAAATCTGTTTGCTATATCCTGAGAAAGGCAGAAAGCACTGGTGAACTCAGCAATACAAAAAGACCTGGATATCCACAGAAGACAACAGTGGTGGATGATGGATGATCACAGAATCATTTCTAGCCCTTCACAATAGCCAAGCAAGTGAACAACACTCTCCAGGAGGTAGGTGTATTGATATCCAAGTCTATCATAAAGAAATGACTTAAGTAATTTCTTTGTTTTTGGCATGAAGCTTTCTCTCTTGCTAAAGCTTTTATACTGTGTGTAAACTGGCAGGTAACTTACAGTTTTAACTAGATTTTACACACTATGAGCATTAGAAAGTTAAAGGACATCACTGCACAGCGCCACGGTGCCATGGCTCAATAAAAAGGTTAATTATACATTTAAATTGACCCTAATCATTTTTTGTTTTTTCGGAAATAATTCTGTTATTGTATTGCTTTCTAAAGAAAACTGATGTGTTTAGAAATGGCATGCTTTGAAAAAGCATATGAAAGTTTTAGCAAAAACTTAGAATTTCCTCGTTTTTGTCCCTGTTTTATTTGTCATTTCTGTGAATACAATATGGGTTTATGAGATTTGCAAATAATTATGTTCTATTTTATTTGCATTTTACATAGCATCCCAACTTTGAGGGAATTAGGCTAGTAGTACAAATTGTTGTCTTATTTTGCAGCACCCCCTCCAGTGATTATTTAACAAGGAAACTGTTAACACTGACATTTTGTTTTTCAGTGTCAAAGGGTCACACTAAATAAAGATAGCCTTAAACATGGAAACTTTCTGCTCTCATACAAACACTGCCAGCACAATTATTATGACAATCTGAGAGACCAGGGATGTTAAATTGTGAGTCACATACAGCCTACATCGATCTTAAGTGGGCCAGACCAGTAAAAGTGCTGTCATCTGTCAGTGAAAAGAAACTCAATTACAACTTGAATCACTAAAATATCTTAATATAAGGGAAAAAGTGCAATTTTAACAGAATGTCTCAGTTTTTCTACATGATAAAGAAACAGCGGTTTAGCTAATAAAGAACTCTTTGGGTTTAAATTGTAAGAAATGTGTCAAATTACAGAAAAAGTTCTAGTAGCTCATTGCCCTGACTGTCCCGTTATCATAAAATAGAAAGCTGGATTAAAGCACAGTCTTACAAAGTTTTTTAATTGATATTATTAATATTCATACTTACAGTGGATCACTGAAAAAAAATTATATAGTAGATAGTATTTAAAAGCAGGAACGTTCCTGTCATTTAATTGTTTATCTATTGCATACTCACTTTGATGGAGTAGCAATGATTGGGGGGGAGTTGAAATGTATTTTAAAATGTTGTTGTCCTTCAAAGCTCTCCA